AGGCCTTTCATTTAAACGTGGGTTTGCAGAACTGGCTGAAATATTTCTCCCAGATTCAGACCCACACAGAAGGACCATTGTCTTCCACCCAGTGCCTTGGTATGATGTCATAACCCTGGTCTCTCTGAGTAAGAAGCTTTGATTTACAGACAGGGCTGCTGCCAACGTGCGGTTCTCAGAACTTCATATTAAATTAGATGACATAATGACATGAGTCCAGAGTCTAAGAAGGCATCGTCGAACCATCGAAAAACAGTTAGCACAGATCGAGTGCTTATCAGACTAATTTAGAACTGTGAGCTCTGCCATGTTTTAGTGTTCAAAATCAAGGACTATTTAAAATCGTCTCTCGGACGACCTAATGCATTGTGAAATAACAAGCGTTTAAAAATTCACCATATGATCCAAACTTGCATTTATTTTTTCCTTTTTATGACAAGGGCTGGATCCTTCGGCAGAGTGGGGTCTCTTAAACAAGTAACATTACTTTTGTGTCTGAGTGTATGTAAAACCTGCATCATCTTTTCTGTTTACGGTTTCACAAATTCTGGCTGCATTGCTGCAATTTATTATTGGAAGATCTCAGTGTATGGCAAATTTAGTCACGATTTTTCATTCTAACCAGCTGAAAGTCTGCAAGACTGGGTGCTATCTCAGCACCATGGAGCAGCTTTGAGACAGAATGCTTCTTGCCATTTGATATGGCTCTGCTGAATTTAAGAAGTAGTCCAGTTTCTGCTGAAAGTGCTTGCAGATTCTGAACAGCTGTAGGGTTTTCCAGTTAATTGCCAGTCCAGGCCTCCTGCATGACTAGGAGTGTCTCCTTCAGCTGGCAGGTTTTTACCAAGTCATTTCAGATTTGAAATATTTGAGCTAGAAGTTAGTCAGGCTAATACGGTTCTCTGTTAAATATTAATCCTGAGAAAATTAACTGTACTTTCTGTATCATGTCGCATCTCCCTGTGTGAAATATTGACTTGCGCACATGAGTGATGGTGGAAGTGTGTATGTGTTATGGCAGCTTGCTTACCATGCCTCCACAGGGATCCATTTGAGAATGAAACCCCATTTTCTAGTTCGGGTCTGTAAAGAGCTGTAATCGGGTTTGTAATTGAGCATGAGTCAATAGGTAATCGGTAACGCTAGTCCACGGCTCACCAGTGATCAGCCCTGGCTGCTCTGGAGGAACCCACTGGGTTCCTGCCTAGGAGAAAATGATGAAGGTGGGCACATAAGATTTGTGTCCTCAGCCACTCTAAGTCAGTTGCAGCTGCTCACCCCAGCTGAGGGTCTCAGCCCCCCAAAAGTCAGTGAGACAGTGAGTACAGTGTGTTAAGAACTGGTAGCCTTATTATACGCAAGTATTGGAACTTGTTTCAGTAACGCCCTAGACAGTGTGGGAAGCCAGTGAGTACAGGTACAGGCTGTTCCTGCATTGGTTTTGGATGGTATGCCTTGAAATACCCACAGCTGCTGCCTTGGGCCCTCTGCAGTCCTTTGCAAAGTGGAAATAAATGGTTGCCCTTTTAAAGAAAGAATATAAGGTGATTTACACCACCTTTTGACACATTCAAAGTATTTTCAGAACAACCAGGAGGTCAGACCCACAGCATGTTTGAGCTGAGTTTGGAAATACAAACATTGGCAAAGAATTTTGGTCTTTGTTACTCCATTTGCTGAAGTTATGTAGGCTGAGGAGAAGATGATACAGGATGGAGTGTCATAAATAAACTGTTAAGTGGTGTCATGTAGCAATTATAGGTATATCCGTCCTCCACAAGTCAAGTAATACAGTTATTCATGTAAAATACAAAAGATGAGGTCTAGCCAGTAAGGGAAGTGTTAACGTCTTACGGTTCTGCTGACACGCTCAGCTTTGCAGGTCTGATTCCAGATCATCTGGGTCATTAGTAGTGGTTTCTCCGGAAAAAAAAAAAAAATCCTACAGAGCTTACTTCTCCAAACTGGTACCCTGTGAAGACATTTACATTTTTTAAAAGGAGAGTGAGTGGCTGCCATCCCAGCTTGGTAAGATCCATTCGTTCACTCTGCAGTGTTAAGTGGCCATATAAATGGCAAAGCGCTGAAAAGTCAGATACAAATCCCTTCACCATTTCAGCGCTAATACTTTTTCTGTCTTTCACTGTGATACCTATTCTAGCGACAAGATTAGCATACAAACGAAATATATGATATTTAGCAAGGGGACACTTTTTTACTGTGTTGAAAAAAAACCATTAAAAAAGGTAATGGAGACAATTCAGTTGAAAAAGTTCAGACACCTCTAAGCCTAAGTGCAGGTAGTATCTGTCCATTTAAAGACTATTTGTTTCCCATTACATGAAGTAACTGATGCTCAGGTGTACCAGTTCAGAGCAATACAAGGGGACAATGTAAACAGATGTTAAATAAAATAGGGGTCCCACTTAATCTCATATCTCTCCTTCTTGTTTCCCTCTCTGGCTACCGACCTGCCATCAGCAAACAAGCTACTGTGACTTACCCTGACTGGTCCTATAATTAACACCAGTCTCTATTTTTCCTCTGAAGTATGAATTTACGGGCAGCCAGGAGTGTCCTTGGTTGCTGTCACCATCTCCAAGAGAGTTTTTGGACTAACAGGTCTGGATTAGAGTCCTTCCGCCCATCAGTCCTTCGCCCAGTGCAGAGTAGGACTTAGTGGTTATCCTCTGTTGGTTGTGGCAGGTATATTTCAGTGTAACAACATAGGAAAACAAATTCTCAGTGTTCATGGCCACTAATCAGACCTCCAAACAGACCCCATGGCATTGCTTTTATAAAGAAAAAATTCAAAGTGAAGTGACAAAAAAGTGCCTGGTAAACCAAGTAGTAAAGATGTGCCGTACATAGAAAAGCCTCAATGAAAAATCAGCCTGAGATCAGGAACCTGCCTTCTTTAAAGCCTCCAGCCTGCCTGCCACGAGGGCTATAACCCTTCCCTAGGTTATAACAAGTCAGACAACTCCGGGGTTTATTGGAGTTGAATTGCAAGTGGTTGAGCTTGGAATTATTTAGCACAGGTGTTTCTATAACAGTGATATATTGGGAAAAATCAGTGTTCAACAACCATCATATTTCCAGCTGTGCTGTGGTTAGTGCTAGTACAGTGCACCTAATACAAAACATGTGAGAATATTTGCTAGCTCAGGAACTTGTTAAAGGTATTTTCTTACAATATCTGAGCTGCTATGTTTATCTAGGTGCGTTTCTTTGGTCTTGCGTTTTCATAAAGGGTGTGATATTGGTTTTATAAAGCTGTCACTGAACCTGGAATCTGCTTCTCTGCAACCAAGTGCATTAGTAGCCCTGCTAGCCAGTGCACAGCACACAAGCAGGTGAAAATAAGATTATGAGGAATCCAATGACAGTCCATTATCCTTAGCACATTTATCTTGAGCAGCACCTGTGCATCTGTTACATATATAGACCTGTTTTTACTAGGGGTGCTAGAAATCTTGAAACAAGTGTTGCAAGCATCTATATGTAAAAGAACATAAAAGGAGCAAAGTTAACAAGAGACTAGGGGACTGTAAAACAAGGGTAGTGAAGTGCGTTCACCAGCAGCAAAATTTGTGAGTGTTAAAAGAGGTTTTATATGTACACATGCACACACGTGCATTTTTAGGGTTCAAAAGACTCATACATGAACATGGTAGATGGCTGGAGAATGTATATGGGGGTTTGTAAAACACATGCAAATAAAAATACTGTCAGAGACACTCACACAACACTCATGCTCTGAGCTGAGTTGTGCAAAGATTTTTCATTAATAACTTTGTGCCACAACAGGTCAGTTATTCTAATACTCTGAAATATTATCCATATATTTCCAACAGCACCTTCAAGCAACGGCTGTTCCCGTGGCTCTCTTTTTTGGGAAAGAAGATAAATGCCACTGTGCATCCATACTCAATTGTTATATGCATTAGAGTTGCATCTGGCTAGAAAAAATACATCTACAGACTAGCTTGGCTCTGTTATTTACAATTTTCCTGATAGAGAAAGTGTGTGTCTTTTACCTATGCACTGCATATGTTGTAGGAGAAGCAGTAATGGCACCTCTCTCTGATTTGAGAGAGACGGCTGATGTGAAAAAGACACTTTGATTTGAGGAGGGACCTCTTCTCCGATTTGAGAAAGCAGCTCTACTTTTGTCATGATTGAGTTGATGCTCATAGACAGTCATTCTGTCCATGTGCTGGTGATACTTAGAGACGTGGCTTGACAGTTCAATTTGAGTCTGTTTTGGGACAAGGGGTAGAGCAAGCAGAGGTCTAGAATAGGAGTCAATTTTTCTTGGTAGCCAGACACTCAGTTAATGTTTGTTAGGAGCTGGCATTAGCAGTTTGATCCAACTTAGAATGACTGAGAGTTGGATGCAACTTATTCAATATCTTACACCCATTGACTGGTTAGTAAGATTAAACACAATCATGTAAAAACTAAATAAATCAAATCCTATTCTCAGAAATACCCTCATAATTGAAAACTTCTTGTACATAGTAGTTTGTAATGTATCTTTGCAATTTTACTTTCACCGAATTCTGAAAGCCCCACCTCTACCTTATCATGCTCTAGTTTACCGAACGTGCAGACATTTATCAAATGGACCATCAGTAGCTGTAGAAATGCAGTAGTATATCCAAGTTAAAATTCTTGCTTTGATTACTACAAATCCATGGAGCCCTTGGGTCCAAAGCTTCCACTGAAGCACAGCTATTTGCAAATAGATTTTTATAGCACATTAGTGCTGGAGGAGAGTCCAAAGAAAATAGTCCTTTTCAATATTAGAACCAGCTGTGACTTTCTTGTGCTGATGACTCATTCATTTTTTTTTATAGGGTGGGAGAACTAGGCAAAAGACACACAGAGTCTTATTCAAGACGTTGTTTGTTTTGCAAAGGGTATCCTAGCCACAAGCCAACTTGATCATACCAATACGCAACTCATGTTTATTTAAAACTTTTTTCTTTTAACAGTTCCAATTATAAAAACAGAACCCACAGATGACTATGAGCCTGCTCAAACCTGTGGACCAATGAACCAAGGCTTAAGCCCTCTCTCTAAACCATACTACAGCCAGCAGATCATGATGCCCCCTGATCCTGGTTCGTGCCTCATGGCTGGCTTTGCCTCCTGTCAGCAGAGAAATGCTGTGATGTCACCCTCTCCCAACGCAAGCCCCAAGCTGCACGACCTTTCATCCTCTCCTTACAAGTGCATCCCCAACCCAGGCCACAGTCACCTCGGACTTCAGCAGCCCACTGGAGGTGTCCCCACCATACAGGAAGTGCCAAGGTCTATAGTTGTGCACCCAAGCTCCCCTGAGCAATCATCTCACATCATGCTGCAGCCGCAGGTGAGTCAACATCTGAGCAGTAGCTGTCCCCTTGGTTATCAACAAACACTCTATCCCAACAGTCCCTCTTCTCCAGTTCCATCTGTTACCCAAGAGCCAACCTATTTGCAGTCCTGCAGTCCAACTCACTCATCCATAATGGGTCAACAGCAGCAGCAACTGCCGAAGGTTCACAGAAATGAGTCTCCAACAACCCAACCACTGTCATTGCCAGAGTTGCATGAGGAAAGTAATCATAATTTGGCCCCTATTCCTGTAACGATCAAGCGAGAACCTGAGGAATTGGACCAGATGTACCTGGATGATGGTAAGTCTTCTGCAGCATAGGTTTGCGTTCAGCCATGTTGCTATATCAGTGAGTTCCCTTAACCCCCTCCTCCTTTTGAATCCTGGTGGAAAAAAGTTCAATTAACAACCTGGTGGAATGGTGCGGACTTTTGCTTAGATTGTCTCTATATGGGAAAGGGCTCTTTAATTTTGTTTGCGACAATGAAACTGTATTATCTAAGCATTAAATGCTGTTAGTTACCATAGAGCTAGCTGCATGACCGATAGCTATGTTGCAATAATCTTAACCGTATGGTCTTGGCTTATACCCACGCCAGTGACCTGTGGAACTGCAGTGAAAACATATTTAACATTGTCCCATCCACAAAGCAGTGAAATCTCTGATGTGCAAATCTGTTCACGGGAACTAAATGATAAACTGCTCTACTTCAGTTGAGAAGGTTCAAATTAAAAATGGAGGTAGATCTTTCAGTGTAACTTTTCAGTCTGACGGCATCTGACATTAAGACTACTTTTTCTTCCATTCTTATTGTGGACTTGCTGATGGGGTTTTTTTTTCTTTTGTAAGATTCTATATGTATATGTATTCTACACGCACCACTGAAAAGTTAAAATGCTGTGATGAACTTGTCAGACTCTAGTTTCCAAAGATTTATTAGTCGAATGTAATAAAAGGGATAATCTGGAATTTGATTATGTGACCTCACTGAACTGTGATTTAGCACTTGCTGCTAAGTATCCCAGTAGTATTCTGGACCCTCACCTTAATTCAGTACGTGAGTTCCCTTCCAATAGCCGCATAACTTTATATAACATACCATGCTATTTGAAGAAGAAATGCCTTTGAAATGGCTGCACTGAAACTAAATGGTGCCAAGGAACATCTGAATGTGATTGTCTTTCAGGGAGAATTTAAAGACAGTTCATTGCACTGTTTTTTAAAAAAAGACATTTAGTTATTCTATTTTAAACAGCATGATACTCACTGAATTAGGATTACAAATGAATGTTTTGGAGCTTGAGTAGCAGCCTTTTGCTTTTCAACTCCAGGGAAATTATTTTTCTTAACAGAAGTTATTATTGGCTACATGATAGACAGGTCTAAGGAATTTTTCCTAATTAGGAGTTCAGTTCACTGAAGTTCTGCACAACACATCTTTTGGTTTTCTTCATATAACATGCATTTTTACCACACATCTATGCTGTAAGGAACAAGATTTCAACAAACCAAACAAGAAATGTACACAAACCAGAACAAAAAGCTATGCCCAAATTTTGGTTTTGAGAGAAACCAGAAGTTATGTATGGAAGGAAGAGAATACAGATAAAATCTAAACCTAGTCTATAGCTGTCTTTCTAGAAAAGCACAAGAAATGGGCAGTCTTTCTGCCTTACGTCTCCAAAATCCAGCAACCACTTCTCTGACAGCACTATGAAAGCTGCCTTTGGCTGGTCTCTGCTGGAGAGATGGGACTGTAGCTCAGGGATGAAGGGTGAGGCTCTTCAGCCGTGTCTACTTCAGGGTTCCCCTGGAGGAACAGAGGAATTTGCTACCATGTGGTCTGATAGAGATTTTAGGTTTTTTTCAGCAATGCTCATTCTCTCTGACAAAGCATAAATGGTTTAGCCTTTACCCCCCCATCTCTCCTCCATCCCCTCTTCTGGACACACAAACACACCAGTCCTCTGACAGATAATCAGAAGTAATTGTAGAAGCCACCATGTACATCTGCACTGATACTTAAAGTTGACTTTGAAGATCTTTTCAGCTAGCCAAATCCAGATATGCTTCTCTTTGGCATCCAGCAGGCTATCAAAATCGTTCTGTGGCTGACCACAAGAACTATAGACCAAGAAAGAATTCATAGACATAACAGTAATGGTAACAGTATATAATAGAAAAAAAATTAACTTATGTTGTTCCAAAAAAATTAAACACCACCAGTTCCCCCTAAGGGTGGTAATCAGAAATGATAACCAGAAGGAATCCCTTTTTGATGTCTACACTGATATTTAGGTTTTTCTTAGGCGTCCCACTGATGGAGTGTAACCCACATGAGCTGCCCTTTCCTCTCTATGCCTTATCTCGCTGCCTGAAGAAAAGGTCATCCACTCTATGTTTTGCTTTGACAAAATGAAGCCCTTGTAGAAACCAGGAGTGGACTACTACTGTCTTCTTATTTGTCTCAGTATTTGGGCAGTCAAGTGAAAAAACGTGTCAGAGGGGCTAAAGGCAGGAAGCATGTCTTGTGGGACTTGTGTTGGCCAAGACCCTCTGTTCAATTCATGCAGAGCCCCAGCATGCCTCAGACACAGCACAGGAGCATGAAGCTGTGAGTCAGGCTGGAAGCCTGTTTAGATCTATGCTATATGCATTTCATGGAGGCAACCTTACCACCATGAGTGCAGAGATTGGTTTCACATGACATTTAATCTGATGTAACTGCAGGCTCCCATGGAAAGGGTAGCCTCGATCCATTTTGCCCTTAGCCACATGGTCTTGCTGCGTCCTTTGAGTCATATCAATTGATTATGGAGTGGCAGAGCAGGCTAATGGAAAATTAACCTGCCAAACCAGCAAAACCCACGTAGTTTTCCTCTGGGTCAGCTCATGGAACCACATCGCCTGGCTCCAATAGCTGGGTCCAGCCCACGAGAGGGGCAGGAAGCCTGTTGCTGCAGGTCAGGGAGTGCAGCGGGACCGCTCTGGGTGGCAGCAGCCCACCCATAGGCCAGAGTAAGCGTGACTTGATGCCACATCTGATGTCATCTTATCCTCCCCAGCAACTATCTAATCAACGCATCCTGTTTCAGTAAAAAATCCCCTTCTCGTGCTCACCTATTAGCTATGGAAGGATGACATCTGGGCTGCCTCACACAGTCTCAAAGGGCAGTGTGGCCACTACGGTGACTGCCTGGAAACCACCAGTAATTGCTCCTGGTGTCCTGCTCGGTGCTGTTCACTGAGATCTGCACTGAAAAGGCCAAGCACTCCACATGCACAATGCCTTTGTGCCTGGTGCCGCTTCATTCAGACCTCTGGCCATAACTGTGGAATAAGGGACAATGGATTTTGCTGAGTAGCTCATACCAAATAGGAGCAACTCATTTTTCATGTGCTTGATTTTTTTTTTTTGGTATAGGAGCTTTTAAGCCATCACCATTGTTTCTTGTTAGTATCATATCCATCTTTAAATTTTTTCCTTGATGGAGGAGTGGGTGGGATATCTGTGCTTTATGACCATATTCTGAAAACCAAAATATCAAATCATACCCATGAGTAAGGACAGTTACTCTTTTTTAAATAATAGATTGCTGCTGTACCTCTTTATAATTTCTTGTCTCACTGATTCAGTTCAGATCCCTTCATATAGCATGATTTAAACTTTTTTTCCAGTTTTTTTTTAATCTTTGCACCTGTGAACAATATGAAACCAGAGAGAGGTCAGATGTACTTGACTGCTTTCCTTGCTTGCCACTCTAAGTTTCTTTCCCTCATCCCTAAAGTAATTTAAAAGTAATGAAATATTTTAATGACATTAAAAATGAAATTCTCAAAGCATCACTCCATTAAAAAAGTGTATCTTCATGGTGTCGTGTAGCTCTTTAATACCTCCAGTTTTACCTGAAAGTAGTTATGAAGTGTGAGGCAGACATCTAACATACTTATGGGACTACCAGACAAATAAAATATCTAACTGGTTATGCCAGATAATGTTTGGTAAAATTTTGGTTGCTTATTTACCACTTTGGGGAGGTTTGATTTATATATCTAATATATGTATAGCAATCTTGGACCAGGTATAAACAGAATGTTTTTGGTTTCAGCTTATGGGATCAAAGCAAATTCATTCCTTTTGGTCTGGAGTATCTCCAAATATAGACCATCTATACTGCAGAGTATAGATGGAAAAAACCAGTCAGTGACTTTATATAAATATATATCCTGTACATGACATTTTTCTGCTTCGGTAATGGTGGGCAGCCGAAGTGATATAAAGGGAGCACCTGAAGAGACTTCCATTTTGGCAAATAAGTTTTGCTCTTGGCAATCTTGTTTCAAATCAAAATCTACAGTAGCCACCTGGGCTACTCATTAAATGTGCTGTCTATTTCAGTATGTGAATATATGATTCAACACATAGAACATATTTAAAACTCACCCCGTAAAGTGATACTTGATATATTATGGTTATGCTCTTGATATTGAAAGGTATCTGGCTTGTATACCAGCACTCATTTAAAATAATTCTGAGTTCAACCTCCTAACAAAGATTATGGCTGACTCCCTTTCCTGCTTTCACAGCAAGACTTGATTAAAAGCCGTTGAAATGTGACATTTATGCCTGGGTTTGGATCTCTGCAGGAGCCCATGGTCCTTTGCAGCAGGAGAGGGAGCTTCTTCCCTGCCAGAAGCTCTTGCAGCAACCACGGGCACCCTGGCAGAGCACGCCAGGGCTAACGCTGGCTCCTTGTGCCTGTGCTGCCCTGGACAGTGAAGGTTATATGACATTCCCTTTTCAGATCTAACCTGGGAGAAGTGTGAGGTGCTAGGGTGGTGGAGCTCATGGAAAATCCTTAGGCAGGCTTGAGAGACAAGTCCATGCAGTAATTGCTTTTAAGAGAAGGCATTTTATTTGGGCATCGATGAGTCTAATGTTCTGTACAGCCCTTTGAGGTGTGAAGTGGAATTAGCATTGCCCAAAGAGATGGTCAGTTTGGGGAAGCTACAAGCTGATGAGAACTCTTCCTGGTCACTTGAACCAGTCGTTCTCTCAAGGAGATGCAAAAATCTACCTAATTTATATCTCACTTTTGAATGTGCTCCTCTCTCTAGCCCTCTAACTAGGACTTGGCCCGAAAGCTGTGCCAGACTGCTCTTGAACTAACCATGCTTCTTTTCTGTTGACCAGGGTAGCTCAGATAATTTTTCCAAATTTTAACTGCTTTTCGTAGTGGTAGAAGAAACCGTGATCCAGAGGCAGTGGAGTGTAAGTTCACACAGCTTTCAGGATGTTC